AATAATCTGAACAATAAAGATTTAATTTAAAAAAACAAGTGAATCTAAGAATCAAGTGAATAAATAATCTGATGAACAGAATGAACTGGTGATTATAATAGAATCAGGGACATAGAAAGGGAATGGACTGACTATTCTTGGGGGGGAAAGGGGTGTGGGAGATGCGGGAAGAGACTGGACAAAAATCGTGCACCTATGGATGAGGACAGTGGGTGGGGAGTGAGGGCGGAGGTTGGTGCGGGAACTGGGAGGAGGGGAGTTATGGGGGGGAAAAAAGAGGAACAAGTGTAATAATCTGAACAATAAAGATTTAATTAAAAAACAAACAAAACACTACTCCAAAAAAATAAATAAATAAATAAATAAATTGTAGATCCAGGAATCAGAAACAGTGTTCTGGGCAGCTCTTGTGCTCTTGCTTAACTTTGATAAATATCAGGTTTCTCAGTTGTAAATTCAGTTAACAGTAGGTGTTAAATTTTTGGCAGCATTTCAGGATTCTTATGGTTAATGTATTGTAAATGTTCTGGATTTCTCTGTGTTTAGAAATCCATTGAGAGCTATGTATATCCCAGGGAAAGCTCTAGAATGAGTCTTCAGAATGGTTACCTCCATAGGAAGAAAGTTCAGCACCAAGGATAGTTCCACCACAAGTAACACCAGTAGCTCGCCCGTCATGGGCCCAGCCCGATTCAGTTCATTCATTTACCCAATATTTATAAGGCTCACTATATGCCAGGCACCCTTCTAGAATCTAGTGATATACAATAAACAAAAAAATATGAAAATACCTGCATTCTTGTGAAGGATAATTGAAAATTACATAGTACATTAGAAGATGTTAGCTACCATGAAGAAAGATAAAACAGAAGACAGGGATATGGACTATGAGATAGTTCAGTTTTAAACGGGATGGTTAAGAAAGACTCAACTCTTCCCAGAAAAAACATGACTTTTGAAGGAGATGAGAGTGTGAGCCATAAGATATCTGGGGAAAGAGACTTTCTAGAAGTGGGAACAGTAAGTCAAAAATTCTGAAGTAAAATGAGGAGTAGCAAAAGGTGGGCTGGAGTGAGAGATGAGATATAGGATATAATACCAGCGAGGTGATGCGGGATCTTAGAGCACTCATCAGGACTTTGGCTTTGCTTCTGAGCACAAGCAGCCACTAGAGTGTTTTGATAAGAGGATTTACAGTGTTTGAATTGTAATAGGACCATTCTAATTGCTGTTCTAAGAATGGCCTATGGAGGCCCTCGCCGGGTGGCTCAGTTGGTTGGTGTGTCATCCCATACATCAAAAGGTTGTGGGTTTGATTCTCGGCCAGGGCACATACCTAGTTTGTGGGTTTGATCCCCAGTTGGGGTGCATATGGAAAGCAACTGATGTTTCTCTCTGACATGATGTTTTTCTCTCTCTCTTCTAAAATCAATAAACATGCCTGGTCAGCGTGGCTCAGTGGTTGAGTGTTGACCTATGAACCAGGAGGTCACAGTTCGATTCCTGGTCAGGGCACATGATCAGGTTGTGGGCTTGATCCCCAGTGTGGGGCGTGAAGGAGGCAGCTAATCAATGACTCTCTCTCTCTTTCTTTCCCTTCCTCTCTGAAATCAATAAAAATATTTTTAAAAGATCAACAAACATATCCTTGAGTGAGGATAAAGAAAAAAAAAAGAATAGACTATGGTAGAAGAGAATGGAAGCCATGAAACTAGTTAAGGAATATTGCAATATTCCTGGTGAAAAAAGATAATGGTTTGGACCAGAATAGTAATAGTGTAGATGATGAGAAGTGGTCTTTTGGGGGATATATATTTTAAAGGGAACTGGCAATATTTGCATAGGGGAAGTAAAAAGAGAGAAGTTAGGAGGACTTTGAGGTTTTTCTTTTCAACCTTCGCCATGTCAAATGATGGAATTGCCATTAACTGAGTTGAGGAAGACTGTGAGAGGAGCACGTTTATAGGGGATCGGAAATTTGCTTTTAGAAACTGTTAATTTTAATATTCCTATTAGATATTCACATCAATATAGGTATCAAGAAGGCAATGGGATAGATGAATTAAGAGATTTAGGATGGAGATATATTTCAGATTTATCAGCATATACTACTAATAAAGCCTAGGTTGTTCCCACTCAGATCCTGCTAGCTCCCATAATATTGCATACCGCCTATAACATGAGTAATAATGTAATAATATCATTTTTCTCATCCATTTGAGCCTGAGTCCTGTTCATGGCTTTATGTGGTGTGTGTGTGTGTGTGTGTGTGTGTGTGTGTTCTTCAAAATAAACTTTCTGCTATGTACAATCCCTTTCACGAGCTCCTTGGAATTCTATCAGAGCTAGTTAGTTAAAAACAACAACAACAACAACACACCAACAAATATTTATAGAATCCCTAAGTGCCGGAGCAATGCGAGGTCAATTTGGATAGAACGCTCCCTGAGCATGGAGGTGGATATCTTGGTTTGATTGTTTAGCTTTGAGATGCCTTTGGTCCCTGCACGTGTGGATCACACATGGTGTTTTCTCATTGAGACTTTCCTTCTTTCTCAGAAGGAAAACCATGCATAGCCAAGGCTGGAGAGATCCCAGCTCTACAGAGTAACTGAGTTTATTCTTCTGAGCTTCTCCAGAAATCTCAGGACCAACTGAATCCTTTTCTTACTCTTCTCTTCCTCTACGCAATGGGATTATTGTTACCCTGATCAGAGTAGATGCACACCTCCCCACGCCCATGTACTTCCTCCTCAGCATCTGTCTCTACTGGATCTCAGCTATGCCCACCACCACACTGCCCCAGATGTTGGTCCATTCTGTAAGCAAGAATAAAACCATCCCCTGTGTTGGGTGTGTGGTCCAGATGATGTTTTCCTGACCTTGCGCATCACGAAGACCTGGATTTTTGCAGCCATGGCCTATGATAGATATGTTGCTGTATGGCAGTGGTTCTCAACCTTCCTAGTGCCGCGACCCTTTAATACAGTTCCTCATGTTGTGGTGACCCCCAACCATAAAATTATTTTTGTTGCTACTTCATAACTGTAATTTTGCTACTGTTATGAATCATAATGTAAATAGCTGATATGCAGGATATATTTAGGCGACCCATGTGAAAGGGTCATTTGACCCCCAAAGGGGTCGCGACCCACAGGTTGAGAACCGCTGCTATATGGTATCCACTCCACTATGGGCCCAAGAGGAACCATTCTCTGTGTGTTCTTCTGGCAGTCAGCTCTGCCCTTTGTGGTCTCACCTGTGCCCTTTTCCACACAGTCTTTGCAATGAATCTGCCACCACTGTAGTCCCAATATCAAAGTAGGAAATATTTCAGGTAGTTATGAAAAACTCACCCAAGAGTGTTTCCTCTGGGAAAAATATTGGATTTTGGTAGAGAGGTGGAGGGAACATGGAATCAAGTAAAGAGATCTGGGATATGCCTTCATTTTAGGAAACAGGATTTCAGACACAAATTCCTAAGGAGATGAAGCTCAGTCAATAGTGCCCTCTTGTGGACATTCTGAGAACAGCTCCCTAGTAAGAAAGAAGTTGCAATAATGCCCTCTTGTGGACGTTCTGAGAACAGCACCCTCTTATTGAATTCAGCAAGTCTGAAAAGAAAACGGCTATTGAGAGACCTAGAGGGCAATCGCCCGGCAGGGAGATTATGCAATAGTGCCCTATTGTGGCTATTCGGAGAACAGCATTCTAGTAAAGGAGTGGATGCAATAATGCCCTCTTGTGGAAATTCTGAGAATAGCACCCTAGTAAGGGATTAGTCTCAAGAGTGCCTATTGTGGGCATTCTGAGAACAGCAAACTAGTAAGGGATTAATTGCAATAGTGCCCTCTTGTGGACATTCTGAAAATAGAGCACTAGTAAGGGCTTAGTTGCAATAGTGCCCTCTTATGGACATTTTTTCTATACAAGTTGTTTGGTTGATCACCTCCCACTCACCCAACCTCCGCTGACTCCCTCTGAGATTTGACAGTCTGTTACATGCTTCCATGTCTCTGGATCCACTCTGTTCATCAGTATGTGTTGTTCATTAGATTCCACATATGAGTGAGATCATATGATACTTGCCTTTCTCTGACTGGCTTATTTCACTTAGCATGATACTCTCCAGGTCCCTCCATGCTGTCTCAAAGGATAAGAGATCCTTCTTTTTTACTGCTGCATAGTATTCCATGGTGTAAATGTACCACAATTTTTTATCCATTCATCAACTAATGGACACTTGGGCTGTTCCCAGATCTTAGCTATTGTAAATTGTGCTGCTATGAACGTAGAGGTGTATACATTCTTTCTGACTGGTGTTTCAAGTTTCTTAGGATATATTCCCAGAAGTGGGATTACTGGGTCAAATGGCAGTTCCATATTTAATTTTTTGAGGAAACTCCATGCTGTTTTCCATAATGGTGGTACCAGTCTACATTCCCACTAGCAGTGTAGCAGGGTTCCTTTTTCTCCACATCCTCACCAGCACTTGCCATTTGTTGATTTGTTGATGGTAGCCATTCTGACAGGTATGAGATGGTATCTCATTGTTGTTTTAATTTGCATCTCTCTGATGATCAGTGACTTTGAGCATTTTTTTATATGTCTCTTGGCCTTCTGTATGTCTCCCTTCCTCACCTCATTCACATCTTTGCTAAAATGTCATCTTCTCAGGGAGGCCTTCCCAACTCACCCTATTCAAAATCAAACACTCCATCTCTGGAACTCCCTATTCCTCCCTCATTACTGATTTCTTTATCTATATAGCAATTAACAGCATTTAAAATGTTATGTATTTTACTTGCTTATTTGATTTATTATCATTCAAATATTCATTGAATGAATGAATGCAGATAGTATGGGATATTATTTTTATGATCATAGGAACAGGAAGGATTTCTTTAAAAGTTGATAGTTTTGACTTCTACATTAAATTAGTGGCTATGTGAGAAAAATGGACACCATAAATAAAGTTAAAAATAAAACTTTAGACTGAGGGAAGTGCTTGCAATGTTTATAATGAAAGATTAATATCCATAATACATAAAACTTCCACAAATTAATAAGTAAAAGGCAAAATCCAATAGAAATATAAATAGAGATTAGAAACAGGCATATCACAGAACCAGAAATCTAAATACTCAAATATACAAAAAGTTTTTTAGCCTCACTAATAGTCAAGGAAATGCAAAATAAAATAATAAAGAAGTATTATTTCATCCCTGTCAACTTAGCAAAAAATAAGAAACTGACAATACCAAGTGTTGGGCTAGATGTGAGGAAATGGGAGGTTTAATACTCTGCCGGTAGGAATATAAATTGGCACAACTATTCTGGAGAACAATTGAGCATTATTCAATAAAGTAGAAGGTGGGAATGCTGTATAGTCTAGCAATTCCATTTTCAGATCTATTTCCTGGAAAAAACTCACACATGTACACAAGGAGACCATGCAAAAATACTAATAGAAGAATTGTTTGTAATGGAGGAAATCGGAAAATGAATTGAATGTTCATTAAAAGGAAAGAGATAAATAAATCATCACATATTAATAAAACATTAAAAATAAATACTTTAGAAGCACTCGTGTTAACATGGGTGACTTTCAAAAATATATTGCTGCGGATCCCTGGCAGGATAGACCAGTTGGTTAGAGATTGTCCCCATATGCCAAGGTTCCTGGTTGGATCCCTGGTCAGGGCACTACAAGAAGCAACCGATGAATGTATAAATAGGTGGAACAACAAATCTCTCTCTCAAATCAATAAATCAAATCAAAACAAAGCAAAACAAAACCAGGGGGCACATGGAGTGTGGAGCTTGGGGATCAGAGGCCCCAAGGTACAAATTAAACGGTGCTACTTATGGTGAGTTTGGGCAGATGGTTCCCTGCCCTCAGCGTCCTCATCTGTAAAAGGCCCGAAGCTCAGTGGGTACAACCATGGTATCTGGAGCCATGGCTGGTAGGTCCTGGTAGGTCCTGGCGCTGCCACTTCCAGTGTGACTGGGGCAAGTGAATTTGCCTCTCGGGGCCTCAGATTCCTCATGTGTCAGATGGGCCCGGTGAGGACAGTCCCCGCTGCACCAGCTGTTGTGAGGATTAAAGGGCCCAGCTGCACATGTAGAGGTTTCCTGTGGGCTTTTCACCTAGTCAGTCTTTGCTTCCATCATCTTCTTCGTCCACCTCAGAGGGTGCTTGGGAGGCTTTCACAGGCCACTGGTGCAGGCACCATCAGATAATGACTGGGCAGAGTGACAGGTGCTCTGAATAAGGTGGTGGGAGGAGCAGTTGGCTGGGAGGAGGAAGGGTGTGGAAGCTCCTGCAGGAGGTGCTTTTTCTGGGCCTGGAAGGATGTGTAGAAGTTCCCTGGGTAGAGAAGGCAGAAGGTAGAGAGATGAACTTGAGTGAGACAGCCTGAGCGTGTCTGGGGACCATGGAGCGGTTTCCTGAGGCTGGATGTTTGGGGTGAGGGGCCAGGCGTGAGGCCGCACAGGGGCACTGGGTCCAGATGGCAAAGGGCTCAGAGTGCGTTGCCTGGGGGTTTAAACTGGCTCCAGTAGGTGGGAGTTCCTATGCCTGTCTACATGGCAGAATCACCTGGGGGACTTTATAAAACACAGCTTCTGTGGCCCCATCCTGCAATATTCTGAATAGTAGGTCTCAGGCGGGACTCAGGAATCTATACTGGTTAAAGCTCCCCAAGAAATTCTGATGCCACCCAGGTCTGGGAACCCCTGGCATAGGGAGAGGGTGTCTGTAAGCAGAGAGAGGCCCCACTGACATACCAACCCCGGATCTCCAGGATCTAAGCAAGAGCTTGGGAAGGTGAGGAGGGCATGTAAGAGTCCCCTGACTCTGACCCCCAGCCTCCCAGCCCTCTCCAGGGGATTCCCACACTCAAAATGCCACATTGACTGCCAGAAAGTTTCTGCTAAAGTGATATATTTATATACGACCAGCAATTGAAGACATATGAAAGCACATGTCCACCCAAAGGTTTGTAAGGGAAAGCTCATAACAAGTCTGTTTTTGTCGTAGCCCACGGTTGGAAACAACACTCATGTTCACAGGGGAGTGGATATATTCAAACACTGGGGCACCACGCACAATGAGAAAGGACGAGCTATGGATACTTGCAACAGCATGGACAGGTGGCGAACAAGCTGGATGAGAGAAGCCAGAGCAAAAAAATAAATAAATGAAAGAGTTCCTAATGTGCAGGGCTCCATGTCTATGAAATTCTAGGAAATGCAAACTAATCTACGGTGCCAGAGAGCAGAGCCATGGCTACGTGGATGGAGGGTGGGGGAGAGATAAGAGGGAGGGGTGACCAAGGGGAATAGGCAAGTTTTGGGGGTGATAGATATGTGCCTTATCTTGGCGCTGCTGCTGGTTTCAAGTGTGTATACATGTGTCAAAACATCCAATGGTATCATTTAAACGTGTGCTGTTTATCGGGTGTCAATTACACCCCAACGAAGCCGCTTAAAGCTGATGCCAGCTCTGCGCAGTCGCGCCGGTGTGGTCCTCACACAGCTCTCCCCGCATGTCCTCTTGCGAGTGGCCAGGGCACCGTGGAGGGTTACCATGCGCGCGGCACTGTCTGCTGAATGCTGAGTGGAATTTTTCATTTAACCTCACAGCAGCCCTGTGAGGTGGTGCTGTTGTTATTAACTGTTTTACATTTGAGGGAACGGAAGCTCAGAGAGGCTAAGTCACTTTCCCCAGGAAACGTCACCTGACTGAGTCCCACCCCCAGCGTTCACCCCTCAAGCAAATGCTGGTCTGATCTGTTCTTATGATCATACAAACATTGCGATAGTTACAGAAAATAAAACTTAAATAGCTTTCAACCCACCCTTGTACATCCTGAAAATCTTAACACATCTAAGGATTTTTATTTTCCATGCTTTTTTTTATCCATATGGAGTATTTTTACGACTGTAATAAAAATTGTGTCTCCTCCCCACCCCGCCCCCGCCAACCTTACATCTTCACATGTAGTCTTATTGTCTTCTCTGTAAAAAACAATAAGAACAGCTTTCCCATAGGTGATTTTTCTGTTTCCAGGCAAAGTCCTGAAAGGTGGAGTGCAGGGCACAAAGTGTGAGGTTTTTCCTCCTTATCCTGATCTAAAGAAAACACAACTCACCGTCTGGTGGGAGCCGGCACCTTCCTGGATCTCTAACCCGGACCCTGGAGTCCTGGGATAGTTGTCACTTTTTTTACCACCAAGCACCCATTTTCCCTACGGCTCTAGGAAGTAGCTCACTCCTCAACAACAAGAATAGGTTCTGGCGGAATAAAGGAAGGAAGGAAGGAAGGGAGGGAGGGAGGGAGGAAGGAAGGAAGGGAGGGAGGGAGGAAGGGAGGGAGGGAGGGAGGGAGGGAGGGAGGGAGGGAGGGAGGGAGGGAGGGTTCTGACAGTTCTTTCAAAAAATTTTTATTTATCAATTTTAGAGAGAGAGAGAGAAACATCAATTTGTTATTCCACTTATGTATGCATTCATTGGCTGCTTCTTGGATGTGCCCTGACCAGGATGGAACCCACATCCTTGGCATATTAGGACGATGCTCTAACCAACGGAGCTACCGGGCCAGGGCACAGCCCCTTCTGTTGGAAAGCCTGTCCTTTCCTATTGAATTATCTTGGCCTCTTTTTAAAAAATTAATTGATTCCATATGTGTGGGTCTATTTCTGGACTCATATTCCCCTTTCGGGAAGCCGCCCATTATCTTCACTAGCAGAGAGGTGTGGACAAGGTACCCGGAAGGCTGGTGACCTTTGAGCCCTGGAAAAGGTCAGGGCTATGTACTCACTGTTTAGTCCAGACAATGGTAGCTGAAGCAACTTCCCCATCAGATGGTCATGTAAATCCTTACTGATAAGATAATCTGTCTGTTGCTGGAACTTGTCTGCCTAAGGGCTTTGGGTGTATTCCAAACTGAATGAAAGGATGGCAAGGCCTGAGCAGAAGCGGAGTCCAACCTCTTGGGATGGGCTCTCGCCTGGCCCCCTAAGATTATTTCTTGTCTGGTCTCTTTCATTTGCGTGCGGCCCCTCTTCCAGAGACTGAACCCTGAACCACGCAGACGTGGGAGAATAGTCACACCCTGATTTATGTCTATCCTTATATCAATACTAATACTATATCAATCCTTCGGTTTTATATTAAATCATGACATCCGGTAGTGTAATCCTCAAGCGTTGTTCTTCCTTTATGAAATTGTTTTCATTATTTTAGGAACTTGGCATTTTCATGGAAACCTTGGAATCAGCTTGTTAATTTCTGCAAAAACATTCTGCAAGCTGTTACAGAGCAGGGACATTCCTAGGCCTGCTTATGACCTCGCCACCTCAGCCGCTGGGCAGCCTGTGCCAAGTGTCTAGGAACTGAGCTCACACACCTGGGCAACGGCCCACAAAGCACAGACAGATCAACACACCTGGGCAACGGCCCACAAAGCACAGACAGATCACAATTAAGAACAGTCCTGACCTTTAAGTTACCCAGAAATGAGTAACAGGAGGAGGATGAATAGCTTGGCTAAACAGTCAGAGAAAGATAAATACCACATGATCTCACTCATTTGTGGATTATACAGAACAACATAGACTGATGAAAAGGGACAGCTCCAAAACAGAGAAACAGTGATCAGGCTATCAATCCCCAGAAGGAAAGTAGGGGAAGGTGGGGGTAAGGGGAAGAGATCAACCGAAGGACTTGTGTACATGTATATAAGCCAAACCAATGGACATGGACAACAGGGGGATGGGGGCATGAGAGTGTGTGTGTGGGGGGGGAGGGGGGGGTAAAGGGGGGCGGGGTTGGGAGTTAATGGGGGGGATGAGGACACATTTGTAATACCTTAACTAATTAAAAAAAAAATAGCTTGGCTAAAACTATGCAATGAGCTTTTGTAACTTGGCTTTGCTTGCTATGGGAACCTGAACACGGATGTAGTTGTCCCCTTTAAATATTAGACACTGCAGATGGTTGTGGCCGCTTCTCTCTTGGGCTTCCCGAGTGGCGGAGCGGACACTGGCCAGTCAATAAAGGCTCTAAATTTCAATCCGTCTGGAGCTCTGGTCATTCTGTCGCTCGCGCTCCACAACAATGTGTCTTGATTGAGGTTTTATTGAACCTACAAATCAATCTGAGAAGAAGTGACGTCTTAACAGTATTGAGTCTTCCCATCCATGAACATGCTGTATCTTCCTATTATACAATTTCTCTCAGTAATGTTTTATTGTTTCCAGGGTACAGATTACCTTGGTTTTTTAAATATATCCACAAGCTATTTGTTGCACCTCCCTTGTAGAGGTGCAGACTAATTCCCTCCCCCTGAGAACGGGCTGGACTTAGTTCCTTGACTTGCTGTAGCAGGTAGAATAAAGCAAATTGACCGTGTGGGGCCTCAGAGACCAGTTACAGAAAGCTGTGGCTTTCTGATTGGGTCGCCCTTTCTCTCCTGGCTCATTCCCTGTGGGAGAAGCCAGCTGCTATGTTAGGAGAATTCCTGTGGAGACTGAGGCCTCCTGCTAACAGCCACATCAAGCCTTCAGATGATCGCAGCCTTGGCTAACATCTGGGTTGCAACCTCATGAGAGACCTTGAGCCAGAAGCACCCAGCCAAGCTGCTCATGAATTCCTGGTCCATGGAAACTGAGCTAGTGAATGTTTGTTGTTTTAAACCACTAAGTTTGGGATGATTTGTTACACAGCAGTAGATAACTAATACACACATCTTGCATCTATTTTGTTAAATGTATCACTAAGTATTTAATTTTTTGGATGCAGTTTTAAAATATTTTTTTAAATTTCAGTGTCCAGTTGTTTATTTGCTAGTGTGTAGAAATATAATTGGATTCAGAATATTGACCATATCCTGGGACCTTGCTAAACTCAGTTCTGTTAGCTTTTAGAAGCTGTAATTTGATGAGTTAGGAAACCGCTGTGGTAGTCCTCAATTCCTGGTTTGGGAGCATGCTGCTCCTATTCTGCAGTCTACTTTTAACAAACCAAGTTCTTGTTCATTCTAAGTCTGTGATCTTTCCCCTCCACACTAGGAACCGTTAGGACCACCAGTAGCAGGAGTTCATGGACTTTTCCTCTTACAGGTCAAGATGAACACAACAACGTGACTCCCACCCCAGTTCGCTTCACCTCACTCTGCTGGCTAATTTCTCTTTTCAATCACTCGGACAGGCTCAGGTCTCTGGACTTCTTCAGAGTGTGACTTCTTGCTTCCATTTTTCTGTCATGTTTGCCCATGTTTCTCTGTTGAATTTCTCAAGTGTGACCATCTGGTTTGGACTATTTCATCTTTTCCCTCCATGTCTTTGGTTGCCAAGAAACCCTAACTAGGTGGTCAGGTCCTCCCTTATTCTAGTTGGTTCTCCACTAAGGACAGGTTCCATGGTCCAAATCCAGATTTCAGGTTAGATACCCAGATTTCGGGTTAGATCCACCTACTTCGGCTTTGGGGGTTGGGGACAGAGCAATCTCCCTTGACAGGAGTAAGATGAGTGGGCCCTGTGATGGACACCTCATATGAAATGGACATCTCTCATGCATACCTCCAACCCTTGGCTCTGCCTCCTCCTTGAATCACTCTGTGACCCTATCATTGCTCCTCCTGTAATCTGTGAGAGAAACCAAGCCCCATTTATGGAATTCAACATGTCTGTGGTTGGTATTGATTATCTCCCTCCTCCCTTCCAAGCTCTATCACCCTCTTCTGTTCTCATTTACAGTCAGAACTGAAAGGCCCAGAGAAATCATGCACTCCATCCAGGCACTTAGCAAGTGAGATAACTGTGGCCTGCAGAGCTCATGTTCATATAGAGGCAAAATATCAACATAGGCCTCCTATTTTCCCAAGTTAGTGTTTTCCCCTGTAAGTAGTACTTGCTCCCAGCAGGCATGCCCACCTCCCACTCCCACTGGGTTCTGATGGGCAGAGACACTTGTGCTGCAGTCCAATGGAGGTAGGCAGGGCCAGGGAGCAGGTGGCAACTGTGACCCAGACAAGCTTGTGGGTGGCAGGGGTCCCATCCCACCCAGAGTCAGGCTTTAGGGCTTAGTGGGTGAGGACCTGGGGGTCTAAGTCCAGGTTTGGCTAAGAAATAGAGATACAGAGGCAGGGGACTGGCTGAGTTGGAGCCAGACCAATAAACCAAGATTAGTTTTCTGTGCCTGCTGTAGCAAATTTCCACACACTGGGTAGCTTAAAACAATAGAAAATGTGTTCTCTCCGGGTTTTGTAGTTTGGAATTCTGACAGCATTCCAGGGAAGAATCTTTTCCTTGCCTCTTCCCGTTTCTGGTGGCTGCAGGTGTTCCTGGCTTGTGGCTACATCACTCCAACCTCTGCCTCCATCTTCACATGCACACATGTCTTCTCCATGTACACGTCTTCTCCATGTACACGTCTTCTCCATGTACTCCATGTCTCCCCTCTCTGCCTGTCCCTCTGCCTCTCTCTTATAAGGACACTGTGCTCTGGGTGGCGTGGCTCAGTTGGTTGCGTGTTGTCCTGTGCACTGAAGGATCCCTGGGTTGATGATCATCGGTCAGGGCACAGACCCAGATTTCGGGTTAGATTCCCCTTCAGGACGAGAATAGGAGGCAACCCATAGATGTTTCTCTCTCACATTGATGTTTCTCTCTCTCCCTCCCTCTCCTTTCTTCTCTCTCAAAAGTCAATTTAAAAAAAAGAAAAAGAACACTTGTGCTGGGGTTCGGGCCCAGCCGGACAGCTCAGGAAATGCTCGTCTTCTCAAGTTCCTTAACTTAATCTCATGTTTTGGCATAAAAGGTAACACTCACAGGTTCCTGGGCTTTGACATGGATGTCTTTTGGGGCATCACTTTCAGTTTACTACAACCCATGCCACTCCCCTCCTTTCAATGGCCTCTGATCTGTGGGAGAAGGAGCGGCAGGCCAGGATTCCTTCCTTGGTCCTTCTGGGAGTAGAGGGGAAATAGGAGGCTGTCAAGAGAGAGAACGATTATGCCTCCTACTTATTTAGATACTGTATGAGCTTGGGCGGCCATAACAGAATACCACAGGCCAGGTGGCTTAAACAACAGACGTGCATTTTCTCACAGTTCTGGGGGCTAGAACTCTGAGATTGAAACTGAGAGTCCTTATGACTTTGACCATATTTAGCTTTAAATCCTACCTAGCCTTTCCCCAGGATCATCAGCAACCCCCAAGGCAGCAGAAGACATTGCCCGGACCTGACTAATGATCACAAGATACAGGCC